ATTTGACGAGTTTTGTTGAGTTAGGGGCTGTTTGTTTACTTTAGAATGATTAAGCGTTGAATGATTCAAATACTGAATAATTCAGAGGCTTTGTATGAATTAACTATGAATGTGACATGTTGTTTGATAATTGCTCTGAATCCTTCAGAATGTACTTTGATGCTGAATCATTCAACACTGAATTATTCAGAAGTGAGAAATAAACACGCTGAATGTTGAATAGTTCCATTCAGAGTTAAACAAACAACCCCTTAGTTCACTTGTGACTTTAAGATGACTAATTTACGTTAATTGAAGAATCTTTCTTTGATAATTGAGAAATTAAATCTTTGGTTATATACTTCATCAAAACATGATTGAATTGAATCTTTAATTATATATAATTCATTAAACATTTTAGCGACTATTTATTTTAAAATTAAATAAATTAAGTATTAATCTATCGGAATCCATCAAGTAATCTCAGTGATAAAAAAGAATGTTATTCAGATCCTGAATTCGAGTAGTTACAGTTGCACTGTGTATGTGCGTAATCAATAGATTAAGAAAATTCTAAACAAATACTATCTTAGGCTTACCTAAACTATTAAAAAATATTATATATTTATATTTACTTCCTTAAAATTTCATCTTGAATACGTCCTTGATTTTAAGGGTGAAGTCAAGAAATTTTCTTGATGGGCCAGAAATAAATTATAAATCTTTAAAGGGTTATAACTTTATGATTTTTATAAAATTAATTACACCACTCATCCTTAAATTGTGATTTTTTATTTTAAATTAATCTTTAAATTTTTAAATAATTCAATTTCATCTTTAAATTAGAACTTTCATCCCCAATCATTGAAATGATTTATATTTCATTTTGGGTATCCTCCAACAATTATTTGAAATGTGAAAGAATGAAAAGAATGTTTAACAGATTAAACTGGCAAGTCATATGTAGTAAATATCAATTGGGCACACTGCAAATTCTCCTGATTTCACCTTGTGCTCCAGTGAGCACATCAATGGAACCCATATGTACCACTGCCCTTGCAAACTTTCTAGCCCACCCTGCACCGTTCCTCCCATTCTTCGACACCATTCTCGATGTCAAAGATCTGTCTATTAATGTCTGGTCGGAGGTGAGTAAACCCCGATGATGTTTCAGTTCACTGTAGTACTTGTTGTCCAGCCGATTTGGCGTGACCATGTCAAGTGGCACAGTGGTTGTTAAATCTCCTCCGGCCCCAGATGGTGGTGATGGACACCTTGTTTTCAGAAAGGAAGCGCAGTTAGGATCAAGAGACGGGTCTTGCGTATGAGTGGCGTTAAAAGAGTAGAGGCGGTTCACGAATGACGAGCAATGCGAGACGCCGATCGAGTGTGCCCCTGATAATGTCGCCATCTCATCGACCGACATTCCTTTTCTTGCGAACGTTTGCGCAAGTTGTTGTGCACCGAAGGATGACTGGGGAAGATTCTGTGACACTTCTTCGCCCAAAGAGACGTGGCCATCGCGACCTCCAGCGGGAACATCGTAGTAAATCCTCCCAACTTCGTAGGAACCATCTCGGGCAGCGAATGCAAGAATGTCCGCACACGACACGGTTCCCGGGCATAGTGCTTCGATTCGAGCCTTGGATTCGTCGATCACCTTGAAACCTCGTAAACTCGTATTATTAGCGGGGTGCTCCATCTCTACCGGAGGGTTTCCAGGTAGGGATTTTAGAATGATTGAAGCATCGCAACCCTGAATTCCATGTGCAAAAAGTAATGAATCAATGTATAAATTATTTTTTAAAAAAAGGATGAAAATGAGAACACATACCATAACAAAGCAGTCATGGAAATACATTCGGATGAGTCCAGCAGCTACGCTGGGATTACTCGATACAGCTTCGTTTACAGCTCTTCTCACGGCAATCTCTGCAGAAGGACATAATTGTGTATAGAATCCCACCTTCAAATTAAGATGCTGAAGCCACAAGTGAGCAGCTAAACATGAATGAGAACAGGAAGACAATGTGAAAATTTGAGCTCAAGGAAATCATCGTGGCAGCCATGGTAGAAGAAAGAAGTTATAAAATGAAAAAGAAAAGTGTGTATACGAAAGTGAAGATGTTGGAAGGGTATTTATAGGTAGAGATGGTGGGGTTGGTATTACTTTTGGAACCCCAAAACTTGTGTAGCAAATAGCTGTAATATTGAAAGCACGGCTTCTGGTTGAAGCATTGGCAACAAGCACTTGTATGTAATAAAATTTCATCATCACTACTATACGATAAAATTATTAATTAATCGAAAAAATTCAGATTTCAGGATTGATATGTGTCCACCTTAAGAACAGGCTACATCCGCTGCTGTCTTTGGGGAAGTATTCCTTTAACGTAGACAATTTTCTTTATCTTTTTTAATCAATAAATTCGCCATGTAATTTAAGTGTATTCGGGGAAGTCATGCGCATTTGAAAACGATTTTCTCTCTTAAAACAATTTATCGGGAAAGTCATGTAATGTCAGTTGATGAGATGGTGACATTATCGGGGGCCCTTATTGCTCTTCGTTCTCGAACCGCCTCTACTCTTTTAATGCCACTCATGCACATGATCCGTCTCTTTGGATCCATCTTCGTCACCAGAGACCGGAAGAGATTTAACGACTATTGTACCACTTGACATTATCAGTCCAAAACGGCTTGACAACAAGTACTACAGAAAATTGAGGTGTCGTCGCGGTTTACTCACTTCCAACCAGACATTGACAGACAATTCATTGACATCAAGAATGGTGTTGAACAATGAAAGACTGAAAGTCAAGATAGGGTGGGTTAAAAAGTTTGCATGGCAATATCAGAGACAGTCCTTGAAAATTTTAAATTATTATATATTATAGATATTTTTTTATTGATAATTTGTTTTCACCTATAGAAGTTTATAAGTTCATTCTCTCCTAAAATTTTAGAAGTTTGTCCAATGATATGAAATTCTATGTCCATCCATAGCTAACGTTGCATATGGTACCTTTGACGTTCTCAATGGAGCACAAGGTGAAATCAGGAGAATTTGCAGTGTGCCCGATTCATATGAATTAGCATATGTACAACGTATTTCAAAAGATATTGAATTCATCATTGTTGATGCCAACTAAACTGATCCAACCATTGTCTCAAAAGTCAACTGTAAAATCGGCAATGTTAAAAGACATCTTATGCAAAAACAAAGAAGCAAGAGAAGTCAATACTTTGTTTTTCTCTCTCGAACAACAAATTTAAACAAAAGGAAATCAATTCTATGCTAATCAATTGCGACAATTACCACGAATGGGGGTCTTAGCGTACATGCATGGGGGTATTAATATATGTACCTCTGTGCTCCATTTTCATATCATCTTCTTCTTCTTCTTCATTCTGCTTTCAATGGCATTTCGTTTCCTTCTCGTCTTTACTTTACTCCAAGTATATGTTCAGATCATATTTGGAGGGAGCCATGGTGCTGTGCCTGAGGAAGTTTACTGGAAATCAGTGTTCCCGAACAATCCAATGCCAAAGGCCTTGAAAGACATTTTGCCACCATCTGATTTGTAGCATCTTTTCAACATATTTTTTTAGCCTGAATTGATTAAAAAATAATATCTGTTTAGAAATTTCTTTTAGCTTATTAACAACTTACATATCTCTGCAAATGTAGTGACTCAAACCCTAATTCTCTAAGGAGAACAACATCCCATCAACATCGTATTGATTTGTGAGTTTAGGGTTTCTAACATCTTTTCAACGTATTTCAGTACACAAAGATCATAAATACCCATCAACCAAATTCACTGCTCCAACCTATGAGCGGGGAGGTTATGGTGGTGGACCTGGACACGACGACCCCTCCAAGGAATTCAAAAGTAAATTTATATTTCATCATTTTACCTTTCATGTTTCATCTATTGAAAACTAGGGTTTATGCATGCTTAATATATTTGGAAACCAAATGTAGGGGAAACAATCTCTTTAGAGGATGAAACTACTTACTTCTTCCAAAAGGATCTACGAACCGGTAAGCTGGTGAATTTACCAAGGCTCATAAGAACAAGTGACAAAACTGCTTTTCTTCCTAACCTAGTCGCCAAGGTAACACGATTTACAAGTGACAAATTACCTGAAACTTTGAACAACTTCTCGTTAAAACCTCAAACAAGTGAAGCCAACATTGTGAACGAAAGCATCATAGATTTGAAAGGGCGGCCGTCGAAGGAGAACAAAAAAGTGTTTTGTGCCACATCATTCGAGTTCATAGATTTAAGTGTCGTAAACCTTGGGAAACAGATCTGTCTTCTATCGAGAGTGCTTTCGTAAGAGACAAAAAACCCGATGTTTTCTATCGACAAGGGAATGGAAAACATGGGAGAAAACGAGGTTGTTTGTCATGAGATCGTGTATCCAAGTGCAGTGTTTATGTGCCATTCAATCGATAAAACAATTGTGTATAAAGTTCCATTGGTAAGCAGAGATGGAACGAAAGCCAGTGCTTTGGTTGTCTTCCATGAAGATACGTCGAGTTGGAACCCAAAGCATTTGGCATTTCAAGTTCTTAAAGTTAAGCCTAGAACCGACACCATTTGTCATTTCCTTATTAGAGATACACTTGTTTGGGTTTCCAACTGAAAAACTGAATAATGTTTGACTAAATGAGCATCGTCTCTTTTAAGTATGCTTGTATTTCAACAATCTTCCTGTGAGGTGTGTGGACTGTATGAACTATTAATAAACAAGGATTTCATACATAGATAATGTTCCCACTTCCACATCACTTATGTTGTAATGAATAATCAATTAAGAGTTCTGTTTTTTAAAGTCTATTTATGGTGCAAATTATTTGTTTTTGTTACTAGTAAATGAAGATTAAAGAAACGAGATCACAAAGAAGGATACACAGATCATACGTGAAAAAATTTAAATTTGACAATGTTAAATATGTTGATCTTTTAATATCTTTTGAGTATGAATAAGTATTGTAGGCAAAGGTTCATTTACATGATAGAACAAGCATGGGGGTTTTCGTCACTAAACAATTGGGGAGCATAAACGTAGTGAACAAAATATGGAGCATCGGGGCCTGTGCTTTTCACAATCTTCTTTTCTTCCACTACTGCTATGACCTCTTCCTTTGTGACTTCAACTTTCACAATCTCCTTCTTCTTCTCTTCCTTTACCTCCACTGGTGTTGAGCTTATAATCTCAACATGTTTCTGCACTTTCTTTTTAATGTATAATAACAGCTTTTGGGACTCCATTGTTCCTTCCACGGTTAGTGTCTGTGCTTTGATATCACTCTTCACACTGTAAATATCTGCATTTATTTTTCTTTTACATATCATTGAGATTAATATATAGAATTAAGAGTGTTGCAGAGTGAGTTGGTATTGTACCTTTGTGCTTCAATAACTTGTTCCGTAGGTCATGCTCACACTTTTCACAGTGTAGATGGACCTTCATTGATGTTGTGCGTACCACTGGCTGTGCTTCATATATGCAATGTAAGATACTCTTAAATAGAATGCTTAAGATTCATAGTTTATTTCTGATTGGGATTGAACAAGCATGAAATGTGTTAATACGAAATATAGGTCTGATCCAAACCCGGCTGCCAAACATTTAAACAAGTTTTGTCGATGGTGTGAGTAGGAAAGTGATGGTTTTAAGCTGTTCATTCTCATTAGATTAGATAGAGAACCCAATCGGTGTTGGTATGAAGAAGAGAGAAAATTGATTGAAGAAGATGATGAATAGTGGGTGTGGCCTGAAATGTGTCGATACAAAACATGGTTCTAACCCTAAACCCGGCAGCCGAACATTTAAAGACGAGTTTGGTTGATGGTTAAGTAGGAAAGTGGCGGTTTTAGGCTGTAAAACTTTTTTGGATCGACGTAGAACTGTTATGGTTGTCCGGAAAGGATTGAGAAAAGGATTGGAGAAGTGTGGGGTTTAAGATCCTCCCCTTCAACTTTGTTTGTGCGGTATATATGTCCCTAACACCATATAATAATAAAGAGATTGATGTCGGTACTAGGGTTGATGGTTATTGATGGGCGATAAATGAGTAGACTTAGCTGTTAAATATTAGATTTAGTTGGTGATGCGATTGACATCGATCATGTTGAGGGATTATAATCAAGCGGAGAGAATGATGAAATTATTTTCGAGTGAATTAATCTTGAAATATTTTAGGGGAAACTCTGAGGGATTAGAGACCCGAAAGAATTGCAACAAAGTTAAAATTTACAAAGGAGATGAACAAGTTTTATAATATGTTTAGTATGCATGATCATTGATTACCTTTTTTATTTCCTTGGGTGTTGCAGCAGCTTTCTCCTTGTCTGTGATCTTGATCTGAGGCGACACAATCTCCACCTTCTTCTTGCTCACTTTCTCTATCATCTTGTGGATTTTAATCACATCAATACCACCTGTTACCTTGACTTCATTTTTCTCGATATCAAGCTCCACACCATGAACCCCTGCATGAATCTTACGAACAATATCACAACTGCACATTTCACCATTAATGATTCATCATCAACATCACAACCTTGATTATGTACGTACCTTGAGTCCTGACGAGAGGCTTTCTTATATCGCATGCGCATTGCCGGCAATGGAGATTCACTCTGTAAACCGCAGTGATAAGTACCCCTTTGGTCTCGGCCATTTTTAGCAGCTAAACGACTGGTATCAGCCCTAACTAATAAAGGAAATGGATATTAATTGGAATGAAACAAGAGAGGTGAGAATCAATGGGACGTCACAACAAGCTTATTAATTGCAGGGAAACTAGGATGTTGGTGCGAATAGTTGAGGTGGCTCACCCACTACGCAGTTTACTTGACACTTCAGAAACACAACTTTCACTATTTTAATCATGTTCTAATAACTTCTAGAAACATGTTTGGAACTATGTCATATTAGAGATGAGTATAAGTGAGGTTCAACGTAATTTTAATTTATTAGAACTTGATTTGAATATTCTATTTTTCCGCTTATTATTTAGCTTGAATTTAGAAAGGAATTTACATCATTATTTAAGTGTTCTTGTTTTGGGCTGGATTATTGAGTATAAATTAATTTTGGGTTGGGAAATGTACAATTTAGGGGTTAGACATTAAAAATGAAATGGATTGGGTTTGTATATTTGAGTTTTGGACTGAAGGTTGATCAAGCATTAATTCAGGTTATATTGTTACTCTTTAAATATTTAAGAACTGAAATAAATTAATTTGTACAAAAATGTTTAAATATTTAAACGAACTTCTAAACCAACGTCACATTTCCTATGATTAAAATTAGAACCATACTAATAAAAATATAAGAACCATACTAATCTATAAGGTTATAATTATAATCACGAGTAATACATTTATATGGTTATGATTATAAAATTTAATTCAATCGGTTTAAATTCAATTAATTATAAAATATGTGTCTATTTAAAATGTAAAATATGTAAAAATTGAACTCATTGAAATAATTATTAAAAGGAGAATTATTAATTTTCAATTATTATGAGTTCAAACAGTTATATTTATGGGTGCGTAGACGTTCTTAATAATTAAAAAATTATAAACATATACTATATTGTAATATTTTAGATTATTCAAAAATGTAAAAGTAAAATAAAAATACATATTTATTATATTTAAAAAATTTGTTATTGTCCCTTAAAGTCTTGGGTAAAAAACACTATAAATACTAAATATATAAATATTTAATATAAAATGATTGAGAGTTAGAAGCTATTAATGAAAAAAAAAATGATCAATCCCTCTAGGAAAGCCAATTTCCTCTTTGATGTGGCTACGATGTACAACGCATGCATATGGGGACCGTCATAACGGCGTCGTAATAAGGCCAAGCTAACTATCAGAAAAAAAGCAAATTTCTACCAAATATCAAAGAAAAAATTGACGACGTTCCGTCAAGCTAAGATCCTGTTTGGATATATAAAAACCTAAATCTGCTTAAATCCTTTGATTAGATCTTCGTTCAAGTTCAACTACTCGTACTAAACGCTGCGATTTTTCTCAGGCAAGTTTGCTCACTTTCTCTTTCTCTAAAGATTTCATTTCTCAATTAATTTTTCTCTAATTTTCTCTCAATAGTTTTTATTTTAAATTTCTTCTAATTTTAGCTTTAATTTTGACTCGAAAGTTTGTGAAAATCTTTTGAATCTTCAAATTCGTTGTATGGTTTCATTTGATCTGAGTATTGGAAGCGTCGTAAGTTCGTTAATGTTCGTCGATCTACATTTTTTTCAAATTGATTTCATGTTGCAGTAGATCGAATTTAGACTTGTTATATGTTGAATCTGTCCAATTCCGTCCTGTTTGATTTGCAATAGTTCCTCGAACGAACTTATGTTGCTCCCGAATTCTGGCCGTCGGATCTGCTCTGATCTTGAATTTTCAGATTATATTGATGATCATTGGAAATTGATATGTGGATTTTGGTGTTTTTGGCAGACGTGAAAAATGGGACTGTCTTTCACAAAGCTATTCAGCCGACTTTTTGCCAAAAAGGAGATGCGTATACTGATGGTTGGTCTTGATGCTGCTGGTAAAACCACCATTCTTTACAAGCTGAAGTTGGGAGAAATTGTTACTACCATTCCCACCATCGGTAGGTCGTTTCCTTTTTGCCTTATATGTTTTATTTTATTTTTTAACCTAACGAATTTCGTTTCAAAGAAGGATTTGACTAACTGTTATATATTATAATCGTGTAGGTTTCAATGTTGAGACCGTTGAATACAAGAACATCAGCTTCACTGTTTGGGATGTTGGTGGCCAGGACAAGGTAACAAGGATTTGCTTTTATTAAAAAATGTTAATATTAATTGCAAAGTTTGGACTTTCCAATATGTTTTATTTATGATAGAGAATGGTTTATTATATGGGCGGGATTGTTATTGTCTCGTATATTCCATCACCAATTAAGTATCTTGATAACATCAATGTGTGTGCAGTTCTGTGAAAGGGGAGAACGAATGCTAAATGTCCTTATATGAGATACGGATAATTTGCATGGTCGTAATTGAGCCTTGTGTTTTTAGTTTAACTTAGATCTTATAAGATCTGTTGGAACAATGAAAAACATTTTTATGGGATGTTTTGTTTGTCTTAATTATTTAGCTGACCTATTTGCTTTATATTTCTACATAGATCCGACCATTGTGGAGACATTATTTCCAAAACACGCAAGGACTTATCTTTGTGGTTGATAGCAATGATCGTGACCGTGTGGTTGAAGCTAGAGATGAGTTGCACAGGATGTTGAACGAGGTACTTGAACTTAAGATTCTTGTTTCTGGTGTTATGATTCCAGTGATCACTCCAGTGATCACAAATCTAACTTATTATTTGGCAGGATGAGTTGAGGGATGCTGTGCTGTTAGTATTCGCTAACAAGCAAGATCTTCCAAATGCAATGAATGCTGCTGAGATCACAGACAAGCTTGGCCTTCATTCCCTGCGTCAGCGCCACTGGTGAGACGAACAATTCTCTTCACTCTCTCTCGCTCTCTGTTTTTGTGTGTGTGTGTGTTGTCCCCTTCTTTTGTGGATCTTTACATTTCCTCTACATGATATGTTTTTGCAGGTATATCCAGAGCACATGTGCCACATCAGGTGAAGGACTGTACGAAGGACTGGACTGGCTCTCAAACAACATCGCAAACAAGGTAAGCTCATTTAGATGCCTCTGATTGTAGTCTTTGAGCTTCTTCTGCTTCTCATACATTCTATTCATTTATTCTGATGTTTTATACGCAATTGCAGGCTTAGATGACCTTTCTATCTCACTAATGCTGGCCCCTTTTGGAACTGTCGATGTTTCCACCGCCGTTTAAAATGTTTTGGTTTTCTGTGTTCCTTGTTTCTTGCAAACATTGTCATTTGTTACCTTGTAGTTTAAGAATAATCGATAAATTTTCGGTTTCTCTCGTGTTTCTTATCTTGATAGTTGGAAGAAAGATACATTTGTTCATTTTTGGGTTGCATTTGTTTAAGGTTGTTATACAAATTCATTTCTGCGTAATTCATATTATTAATTAGATAATTGAGATATCATTGGTTGAATGAAGCCTTGAAATGGTCAAGACGGCAATTCGCCAAGCGTAAGGAATAGGAGGCTTTCTTATAGTCACCCCAAGTGAACGGCTTGAAGAGGCTTGGTCCGAGATGAGTTTGCCATTGTCCTATGTCTCACGCTCGTAAATCTTCCATTTGTTAAAACCTAGCTCATGATAATATAGTTACGTCAGGCATATCATTTTCGTCAAAATCATGTCATACAGTAAGGATTTTAAAGCAGTAAATGGACTGACCCGCAAGGCAAAACCCATCAGGCAAAGAGATTTGGAGGCCGGAAACATCGTTGAATCGTAAAATGGTGAGGATTTGAGGGTTGGAATGCTCGCCAAATCCAACTTCATCATCGTCTTTGCGTGATTTTGAAGTCTTGAGAGAAGGACAATGGTTGAACCTTAAGACGGAGTCGTTTTGGACGTCTTCGATTAGTTTACTGAAGACGTACCTGTCATGGACTCGTAGACCTTCGGCCTCTAGGTCAAGAATCTCGCTTGCCAAGTCTCTGACTGCTTTTATATAACCATTCGCCGCACCACTGCACAAACCCAACCAATAAATTATAAAATAATATTTAGAATTCGAGTTGGGATGATAATCAGACATGATTAGAGATAGATATGGGTCGAGTCGAATTTTTAGTTGATTTGAGTATTTTATCTTTTCATCCGTTACTCAATTTGATTTGAGTTTAGACACTCCATCTGACCATCCAACTCAGTTGGTAGAGCACAAGGTTCTTAACCTTGAGGTCGTGGGATTGAGTCACACGGAGGGCATTTCATAATTCGGAGGTCTCTTACGGAAGTTGCTCTCAATCTGGTATTGGGGGTAGCCTACTATCTTACCTCCCCCTTACCCCATACATATGGGAAAAAGGGACAACCATTTTTTTGGAGTAAAAAACATGTACTTGACACCTGAATAATATATATAAAAGATTTAGGTAAAATAAGAAGATACTCAAGCTCACCCTTATCGCCATTGAGACCGATGTTCCTCGAACCATAACCAAAACCGTCAGTCGGCTCCGCATGTTGCTGGTCACGAGCCGGACGGTCAAAAAAATTATCCCCTCGTCTTCCAATCTGGATATTGTGTCCGTAGGAACGCCATGGTTAATAACCTTAAAGAATCCGTAGTTTTGGCAAGCTTGGACGATCAGCTCCGACACCTTGGACCTATCAAGAGAAAGGTCAATCGAAGGAATCCCTACTGCCCTGTTTTTCTTGCTTCTCACCGAAACAGGCGACTCCACCACCATTTTCTCCTCCCTATGAGAGTTGGAAGACGTGTGTAATCATGGCGGAGGAAATGCTTACTATTTATACAAGAGACAGAACTTTTTATTATAAAATTTGGAGCCAGTGTTCTGAATTTAGGAAGATGTAAACATCGTCAACCAAAAAATTATAATAATATAATGAGTCCATTATGTATATATTATAATATTATGTTTAGGGTAATAATGAGAGTATAGTATTAAATTGTAATTGTAGTCTTATTGTTATAGATGTTATGATCGTTACGTAATCATAATATTTATTGCTAACGTGATTTATTTTTTTAAAAATCATGATATTTTTAAATTTTGAATACAATTATAATATTATAATGATTTTAAAAATTATTATGATATGATTGTTATATTACATTATGAATACTCGGAAGGCGAGGTAATTTATGAACATTAGGTGGGGAGTAGGGAGACGACATGATCGGGGCCAACCTAGTCCAACATGTTTGTCTCCTTTAATTTATTAGTGATCTTAATCAATTGTGTTTCAATATTTCTTCAATTGTATTAATGATTTTTCCGTTACCATAATCGTTATCAGCGTCGCAGCCTATCGTGGAGTCACATTCGTCAACAACTTTAGCCTTAATGATTTTCCGTTACCATAAATCTTAACCAAGTGGCTACTCCTTTTCTTCTTGTTAAACCATCCGGTTGAAAGATCCACCACAAGTTCTTTGTCGGAGTGAAACTTGTCGTCACATTCGGAAGGTCCATGAGAATCCTCGTTACCGAAGTTGAGTAGCATCAGGATTGCCTTGGTCCGGTTTGGAACCGGCGGGGAACACTTGTAAATGTCGTAAAGCTCGCCTTGTTTGCAGCACTCGGAGCCTTGGTGATTACATGCCTTGGGAGGCTTAGGCCCTCTTATTTTGCCACTTGGTTTGCAAGTATTCGGATCTGCTCGACCATTAAACATTCCGAAACGATTGAGACGAAGCAAATGAGAAGAAAGACTGCAGAACAACAAGTCTTGTTGTTCATGTTTTTTTGTAGGGTTGTTCGACTGGTCGTTGAGGGAAGCATGAAATGGTGGTGGGATTTATATAGAAGTTGAGCAATGCATGTTACACATACCATATGTGATCATTTTAAGATTAAGACAAGTTTACAGTATTCCTTGGGATTATACAATGGATGGCCAATTTGCCGGAACAACTTTCAAAAATAAATATATAAAGCCGTTTGTGGTAAGATTCTTTTAGCTTCGAATAGAGTCAAACAAGGTGCTTTTGATCCTCTTGCATTGCATTTCGCTCACACAGGCATCTGTCTTGTACTATACGTATAAGATGCTTGCTTTTACTCGGGACCACGGCTCCCACAAATTCCTCTTACATGTAATCATAGTTTAATTTAAATTTGTTTTGTTTTCAAACATCTAATAATATAGCTTGGTCTAACGAAGGTTGTGATTAGTATATATGTATAGTTTGGTATGAAATTGAAATATTCAAAAAGTTTGGGGATCAATTTAGAATGAAGGTAATAGTTTAGGGGTAAAATTGAAATGTTTAAAAGTTTGATGATTAATTTATAATGATAGTCATAATTTAAGGATGAAATATTTTAAAAGTTTAAGGATTAATTTAAAATGAAAGTTATAATTTGAGGACATGTGATGCAATTAACTCTAATCATAATAATAATAATTTTGGTGTATTGATGAAACATTATTATATTTGTAATAAGGGCCCAAGAGAAATGGGTAACAGTAATAAGGCCCGTTAATAGATACTCTGAGTATAGGCTCAGGCGTTCTTATTTAATTCATCTTTTTTCTTTTTAGGGTAAGGTTAAGGTATATAAACTGTCCACAAACCTTTAGGAAGTTTGTATTTTGGTCACCTAAATTTTGAAACACCTGACCGTGTGAACCCCCACGTTAACCCCTCTTCTTCTTCTTCTTCACCCTTATAAACACATGCTCGACAAAAAATAAGCATAAAGCAAGAAAGCCAACCTTGAAAGATAACCCCTCCCTCTCCGTATAACAAAGCTTGAAAGATAACCCGTCACTTTCCGGTTAGAAATAGACTCTCAGAAACCGTGAACTCAATCGCTTCTCAATATCTACACCTTTAAAAATAATTTCTGCAAAGTTTCTAGTGCTATCAAACTGTTAATGGCAACTTCATTGTTTTTGCCTAAGATACTTCCTCTTTTCCTTAACATATCCTTTGTTTTCCTCATCTTTTTTATTATATTACGATTTTCTTGGCCAAATCAATAATGGGCGAATCCCCATCATTAATAGCAACCCTTTGATCTCCCATGGGAGTGACAACGATAGTTGCGCTAGTCTCCATGACATCACTAATTATAGGTTAAGGTGCTTGTATGTGAAGTCCGAAATCGGGTGCAGGCCTAAAGGGTACATAAACTATCTCCATATTTTTTTATTATACTTGTGGAGGATTTTCAATCCTTGCCCATCTTGTACTCTTAACAACACCACCTTAACATGGTTGTCAAAATTTTATGGTTCTCATGACCCTTTGACATTTAACGGCTATCATGACTGTCATGACTCTTCGATACAAAACAACAACATCAACGAGAAAGGTAGATAAAAAGGGAAAAAAGGTGGTGAAGAGGTTTTAGTTTAGAGAGTAAAAGAAGAAAAATAAGAAGATGAAGAAGAAAGGCGGTGAAGGGGTTTTAGTTTAGAGGAGAAAAATAAGAAGGGGGTTGACGGGGTTAGATGCCACGTCATCAAAAAACTAACGGGAGGTAACAACAGAGAACTCACTAAAAACGAACTAAAAGTTCGATGATTGTATTATAAGTTTAAAAGTTAGGTGACCAAAATGAAAGCGTCCTAAAAGTTTAAAGACTATTTATATACTTTACTCTCTTTTTTTATTTTGACGTGAATACTGAATAGGGATGACACTGATTGAATTAGGTTTTGATCAACACGATAAACATATCTCATTCATTTAAATTTGATTCAATTTAAAATTTAAAAAAAGATTTAATCGACTCAAAATTTGGTTTAAATTTTCATATAAAAACTCACATTATACATGATACAAATATGTAAATAAAAAAATAATGCGATAAAATATAAACATAATTAAAAATTTATAAAAAGAGATATTATCATAATAATTTTTAAATATATAGAAAGAAATTATATTATTATTTCAAGTTGAATGAAAAATTTATCATTCTAAATCCGGTCCAACTTCAGTCTTTATAAATTTGCTATAAAAACTGGATTTTAAAAAAGACCGACCTATTAGATCGGATCGATTAAAAACCTATGGAAATCAGGTGAACTTGCCATCTCTAATAGTGAATAGTGAAAAGTTGAAAAGAATCAAAAGTGGAGGGGTAAAATGCAAATTGCAAGAAATTAAGATTTTATCAAAGCCAAGAAATTAGAAACTTTTTCACCAGGAAATTCACGCCAAAAGAAAAGGAAGAATACATGTACTCTCTCTCTCTCTCGATTGAGTCAATGTTAACCGATTTGAAAATTTTGAAGTTTTATGATTAGTTTTCTTCTTATTTTCTGCTGTTTTCTCGAGAAAATTATATTTTCTAGATCTCAGGATAAATTTACTTTTCCTCTTCTTTCAACTGGATGAAAAACTCATGTCAGAAATCATCTTCATTTTCTTCTCTCGTATGCTTTCATATATTCGTAGATCTCAGGATATTCAACTTCAGTGTTGATTTCTTGTAGTTTTGGATTTTGTTTCTACAAGTCTTAAATTTAACAGTTAGCACCTACTATATATATTTGTTGTTCCAAATCTGCGGATTAAAGCAATAAATTTAGTTATTGATTTTTTTCATATCATATATTTACTGTTTCAGATATGGCAATGAATTTACTGACTCTAGTATTTGATACGGGTTCTTTTCTACTTAAAAATCTCCAGGTTTTATTGTTGGCACTGAAGTTTTGAGTTCATGGCGAGGATCAAACCACAAGCTCTGCTACAACAAAGCAAAAAAGAAGAAGGGGCCAGCTCGAATTAGCGTTTCAACAATTATACTCTTCAGTTTAATTGTTGTTTTGGCTGTGTTTTTCCTCTATGCCACGTACAGACACTGGTCTCAAAGGTTCGTTGCAATTTGGGTATTGTGTTGGCTATAATTGGAGATTAAGTTTAATTAATTTCAAGAATGGGATATAGTGCTACAATGTTCGTTAACTATGTAGTGGTAATTTTAGAGCAGGAAATTTAGAGATGAAACTGCTTGTGGAGAGTGGAATAGGGTTAATATTTATTAGTGTAAAGGACACAAATTGTCTCTAAACTATGCTGAAATGATCCTTTTGGTTACTGAAATTTCAGAAGCTACAAAATGGTCATTAAACTTATTGAACTGTTATAAAATGATCACTGCACGTTAGAAAATAGTTATAAATTTTGATTAGTTTAAGGACCTTTTTGTAACAATTTGATAAGTTTAATGATCATTTTGTAATATTTTGATAAGGTTTAATGACCACTTGTAACCGTTTGGGAAGTTTAATGATCATTTTGCAACTCTTTAAACTTCTGTGACCAAAAAGATCATTTCAACATAGTTCAGTGACCATTTGTGTACTTTACCCGATTTCCTAATTGATTGGATTTGACCCAGTTTTCCTTTCTTTAGGTCAAGAATTGAAAATGAGGACAAGGAATCAATTTTAAAGGTACACTTTTTAAGAATCTTTTATTCTTTGTTCTCTAATGAGTTTCTTGATAATTTTTGTTTTTTCTATAGCAATAGAAACTTAACTTTCTGCCTAGTACCAATATATTGTGTTTCTACTTTCTAGGACATTTTAGGGAAAATTTTCACTTTTCTTGTTTTCAGAAATAATCGCGGTTTATGATGCTTTACGTATAGTGCCAGTTCTCCTTTTGTTTATTAAACTTCGTATCTTCTATCTTGATTGTGTCTGGTAGGGTGACAACTCTTTCTTGGATTCGAAGAAATCCGATCTCCCTGGATATGCTGTAGGTTTCTTTACTTGCCAAGCTCTCCTCTAATTAATACTTGCTGTCTCAGTGAATGATGTCTACTCTTTGTTGTACTACCCTGGAATATGCTGTGCTTTGTTCTGATAAACAATATTGTAGAAATTTGCAGTTGGACCATATATGATATACTTATGTTTTGACTCCCCTTTCCTGTGAAAATGTCTTATATCTATTCATTAAGCTTTTTGGTAGGAGTTCTTTCTTTAACTTGCTGAGTACATGGATTTATTAAAAGACATTGAAAAACTGATTCTTTTTAACACGTTAATGCTCTTGATTGCAGCACCTATTAAGAACATAATTCCGTAGCATGTCTCTTAGGAAAAGGAAAAAGCCTTTCTTGTTAGGCCTTATAGTTTATCAATTTTATCTTACGATCTTAACATGTTAGCCTTTCTTAATGAATCAAGTTTGACCAAGATGTTCAGTGATTACTTGATCTTAACTTTTAGGCTTGTACATACAACTCCCAATTAAAATGAGTTTTATCCATTGACTTGGCTCTTTTTTCCCCTTCGTATGACTAGGTTTTAGATACCACAAAAGGCTCTATAACTGTGGAGCTCTTCAAGGATAGTTCTCCTGAAGTTGTTGATCAATTCCTTGATTTATGGTAAGTGTTGGACTCGGTGTTCATTTCACATAAAATGATGTATTTTCTTTGCACAAAGTAAAATTCAACGAGGTGAGTAATTTAACTGAAATAAGGATATGCGAGAGATGATCAAATCCTGCTGTGGAAGAGTTGAGAATACATTAAATCATTTTCTGTGAATCACAATTCCTTTTATATCCGGAACTGCCATCTTTTTTGGCTTCATGATTTTGATTTTGTTGGTTGAGCAGTGTGTGTCATATTTATTAAGGCAGCATGAAAATATATTATCGTTTTAATTCATAAGTCTCATGCTGAGTGTTTGGTTTAAACATCAAATTCATTTAAAGGAATTGACGCAGGAGGCTCCATCTAGTTTGTGTTCTGTTCTAAATCAAGTTTGTGTAAATGAACAAGATGTGTATTCGAAAGTCATCCCCACTTACCATGACTTTAACTGATCTGCAGCCAGAGAGGACACTTCAATGGAATGCTTTTTCACCATGTTATAAAGCATTATGTCATTCATGCTGGAGATAGCGATAAACTGGGAGCTGCAGAGGACTGGACTTTGAAAGGAAAGCATTATAGCCAACTCGATATCAGGTTAGTACATTGGTGATTAAACTAATTTGGACCCCTTACTAATCCTCCACTGATTTACCATCCTGTCAATGAGGAAAGCACTGCAGGCATTTTCTATTTATTGTAACTTAAATTCTGACGTTCTACCAGTGTGAAGCATGAAGCATTCATGCTTGGAACTTCCAAGGCAAAGCATGAAAATGGGGCATTTGAGTTTTTCATCACAACTGCACCAATCCCAGATCTAAACGACAAGCTTACTGTCTTCGGGAAGGTCGTTAAGGGAGAGGATATTGTTCAGGTAACAAGCATAATTCATCAGTACTCATGGTCGGGCATATTCAACACTGTTTTCCCATTGTCATACCCAAATATTGCACTTAGATTATATCGATTGTGTTCTGCAATGTCTTGAACAGGAAATCGAAGAAGTGGATACGGACGAGCATTATCGGCCTAAATCTTCTGTAGCCATCCGCCGCATGACTCTGAAACAAAGCATCTAAAACCAAACACACGCAAAGAAGTTATCCTGCACTGCATGTTCTGTAATTCCAAACAAAAACCCCATCAGTAAAATTTGGTCAGAAGATTTAAGAGTGCATCCTTTTTCGAACTTCATCTCTTACTGTCTGATCCGTCGGTCCACCGGTTGAAGCTGCTCGGGACTTGTCTGATACATTTTTGGCTATCCTTTTTTCACCATCATACAGTAGTTTTCACATCTTTTCTCGGCGTTTGTTTCCAAGTCTGTTTTGATATGTTAATGGGCATTGCATTTGTGTAATCAGGTGGATAAGATGTTACTTGCATATGTTCAATTAAGAAATTGGGAATGAATTTATTTGAATAACATATATAAAATTTAATGTAAAAATAAATACAGCACCTGTTTCTTTTTCCTTTTTAATATAAAATTTAATACAAACATCAGTTAAAAATATTAGTATTAAACCAATCTGTACCAATTTCACATTTCAACTTTTATTTTACGTCAAAAGGGACCAAGCTTCAACGGGATTTGTTTGAATTCCATCAAACAATGACTACAATTATTGTCTAATTAGCTTTAATTTAATTCAAATTATTTAGCCATATTATAATGGTCCCAAATCCCCATTGTGAAAGCTTAATATTCGGGATCTAATTAGCTGACAATTGTTATATTAATGTGTATTTATATGTATACATTGTTAACGGGACAAGCATGGTTTTATTTTATTTTATTTTGATTGAAAGCATTGGTTTTAATATATGTATTATAGTTCCATGGTAACCAACAGTCCAAATGGTGGTAGAGATATATCAGTCAGTTTAGGTACGTATAACCAAATGCTTAAGTAATCATTAAGTTAAATTAAATTAAGTTTTGCCCTCTCTATGTCTAATAATAAATCGGACCTTAATGACTTCTTTTAAGTTGACTTTGCCTGTTTGGCTAAATCCAAACTGTCAATAGGTTTAGGTAATTCGTAAGCTAACATTAATTAACTATATTATTTTGATCGGAAATTTATTGGTTTTTTTATATGATTTTTTCCATCTTCCATTTGATTTAGATGGAAAATTATGATCGATAGTTACAACGAACTAAAAAAATGGTAAACAGTGAGAAATTAAGAGAGTGTGTCTCTCTAAGAGAGGATAAATTAAGAGGGAAAAATCATTTCCCCCCTCTTGTTGTGCAGAATGACTTATATACTAATTCTTAGTGTTAATATCAGATCTAGAGTCGTGATTGTTATTCATATGTCGACAAAATGAATAAATTTAACTATCATATAGTAGATTTCGACCATGATGAGATTGACAATAGTTATATCAAGGAATTAGCTGGTCAGGGAATATGAATCTTTGTTGATTCGTATTTCGAAAACTTCAATAAGCGTCAGCAGAAATATTATTTACGAAGGAAATTCAAAAGATAACAAGCTTTTAAACTTTATAATTTTAATATTTAAATAAGACACGTAATGACATTATTCTTATAAAATATTTTTTCATCACATTATATAAAACAATTTTTTAGAATTAATAGTATACGAGTTTATAATACAAATGGATACCATAAATTATTAATTTAGACGGAATAAGATATCAAGTCTTTGTGTCAACTAATTTAACGTATGGACGTGGCAACAACTCTTAAACCTTTAAATTTTTCATTCAAATACTACAAATTATTGAATTTATTATATAAACTTCCTTACCACACAAACAAGAGAGTTTTCTTTTTCCAGATCTTCCAAACATCTCTTGAGTGAAAAAATGGTGTTGTGGTGGGAGAATTTATATCAGAAATCTGGGAAATTCCTCACTTCTCCCACCATGAAACAACCCTTTCACTTGCTCGCCATCCTCCTCCTCAGCCTCTGGCTTCCCCTTGCCTTCCTCCTCGTCGCCAGGCTCTCCTACGTCAACTACGTCTTGAACGCCACCGTGTCGGACCCTTCAACGCCGCCGCCGCCGTCTTTCCTCTGGTCTTTCTACTTCTACGCCAATCCAGCTCTTATCTATTCACTCGTCACATCCGTCAGCATCGTCGCTCTTGCGCATGGCTTGACTGGGAAACTCAGCTTCGTAACGGATACTACCACTCATCGTCGGCGGCCCCGTTTGTACATTGCTTGGATAGTTTTATGCATCGTGCAAGTCTCCGTCGGATTGGGGATCGAAGGAAGCGTAGCGGTAGGCGTCGACGGTGCCGGTTTTGGCGTTAAAAGGTGTTTTTTCAGTAGAATGATTTTCTTCTTGGGTTTGCATGAGATCATGCTTGTTTGGTTCAGAACGGTGGTGAAACCGGTGGCGGATGACTCGATCTTCGGATGTGCTAGTGAGGAGAGGTGGGTTCATAGGACCGCCATCGCGGTGGCGGCCGGTACACTGTGGTGGTGGAAGCTGAGGGATGAAGTTGAGTCATTGGTGATTGTGGCGGAAGCTAAGAAGGAGATGTCGACGGACATTGAAATGGCGGATTTTCTAGGTTGGTGGATATATTACTTGACCGTCACAATCGGCATGGTTAGGGTTGTTAAAGCTCTCCTTTGGCTTGGGATTGTGTTGCTCCGTAGAAGGGGAAGAAGGGAGCACGTTGATGAAATAATTAGCGAGGAAGAAGAAGATGAAGAAAAGGTATAAAATGAGTTACAAATATTGAAATTGGCCAGATAATATCGAGTCAGTGAAGGCTTTCCTTTATTGTGAAAAAAAGAAAGACGGCGAATCTCGTCTTTGTTAATTACAACTTGTAGATTTGTATGATAAATATACAAATTGCTTTTTCATCTCCCAACTCTTGTTTGTATTATTTTCCTCTTGTACGCAGTAGTCCTATCATGGGGATATAATCCCCAAAGCTAATTAAAAAAATCTAATTATATCCAATATCATACTTTGAAGAGGTAGAATACTTTAAAATTTTGAAATGCTGATATTATATATTTTATGACACATGTTTTTCTCGCTGTGACGAGTCATATTCTGATTCTTTGATTCTATGTGGAGCATTGTAGTAGGTAGTGTAAACAAAATAGACAACTGTAATAACAATATGTGCCGAGGACATCACAAAGACTAACCGTGAAAAATGTGCTCTATTGAGTGGGATAGACAGAGTGGATAACTATGATAATGACAAGAACATCACGAAATTAATTGTGAGAAAATGTTAGTCTTAAAGAGACGAAGGATGTTAATTTCACATTAAAAAAATAATAAAAAAATCTTAGAATTTAAAAATGATGGCACTACACATACTATCAAACATGTCTTTTGAAAAAAAAAATAACGATTATGTATTTTGAGTATTACATAGATAATTTTAAGCTTAAATGCACCACTTCCCTCTAAACTATATCATCTTTATCGAGATGCCCCTTAAAGTATTTTTTATCTCTAAAGTATAAATTGTTATCTCATTTATCCACGTTAACTCCATAAAAAAAATACCGGTAAATTACATATTTAGTCACTCCACTATTTATGCGGTTTTATTTGAGTTGCCTTACTTTTTTTTTCTTCAAAGTCATCACTAAACTTAAGTTTTTGTTACGTTTTGGTCACCCAATTTGATTCAATTTATTTTTAAAATTTTTAATGTATAAGAATTCACTTATATTATATTTTTTACTCAACACATAAATTTATTTTTCAATAATAAGTAATATTATACAATGAATAATAAATAATATATTAAGTTATATATAATGCAAATAATATTTAACGTAAAAAATAACAAATTGACAAAAAAATTGAAACCAAACCAAAATTTAAGCAAAAAAATAGCTATTAAAACTGCATCCAAAGTCCAAAGAAATCCACCCAAACAAGCTGGAATCAGGGCTTTTGCAGGTGATTTTTTTCATAGCAATTTCTATGTTTTCAAACAATTAAAAGAAAAGAAAAAGTATTTGAAAAAAAAAAAGAAACAACTAAACCAATAAAAATAAGAAGAAAGTTTTTTGAAAAAGCTTAAGGACGAGGTTCGTTTTTTTTCTTTTCCATTTTAAACATTTCCCGCTTCTCTCCCATCATCCAATTGTGTTTTTTTCACCAACAATTTCATTTCAGAGTTTATAATTTTGGATTCTGTCCATCTCTTTGTTGCCTAAATTTTTAGGGTGTTATGCTTGTTTCAGTCCTAGAGATTGAAGTTAAACCCTTTTAATCCTTCGTTTTTCATTAATTTTTGCAATGGAATAATGGGTAAGTAGCGATGTTGATCAAGTAGTGAACTGTTTCCAGAGATTGGTTCAGCATCAGCCGACTCAGTACCCCACATCGGAAGAGCTCAGTATTGGGAAAATTAAGTTCAAAGCTTTTGACTTGGGTGGTCATCAGATTGCTCGCAGAGTCTGGGAAGGATTACTATGCTAAGGTAACCAATAGCTGAAACTAATGCCCTTTTGTTTTTTTTTTCTCTTAACATTTGTTTGGTTTTTGGTTCAATGATCGTTCTTGTTTCGTGCTTGTTAGTTTCGCTGAATTCTGTGTTATTGTAATTCATTTCTAATGGTGTTGCCATCCTATTTGGCCAATTCTGTGTTATGTTGGTTTAAAGGTTTAAGGTTTATATTGACTCTTCTTGTTCATTTCGATTTTGTTACATTTTATGACAATGGATGTCATACTCGAATACTTCACTAGACTCCTCGTTTGATGAATATATAAGTTGCAACGATTCATATATGGTTGGGATTTTGTTTGTACGAGACGATTCACAACTGATACATGATTTTCGTTGTGCCATCTAAACTCTCGGCTTAATATTTTCCTCTTGGAATTTCAAGTGAATGTTTTGATCACAGAAATTTCTTTGTGTTCATATGTTCCGGCCGTGTTTTTGCGCCTGATCTATCTTCATGTCTTTACAGTCATGAATTTTCAGTGATGTTGGTCTTGACGATCATCTTATTGAATACATAACCAAAAATCTAAATTATTGTATCCATCTGCTGTAAATAGTTGCTCTTTTTTCATTCTTAAATTAGATCTTCAATATATTTCATTTTGGAAAGATGGCCAAGTGTTCTCTGTGCCGCTGTAGCATTCTTTGACTTTGTAGCTAGCTTTTAGTTGATTTCGTGCAGATTTTTCGAAACCAGATAATACGAAAGCACGGAAATGATAGATTCTCTGTGAAGCATGGGATGGTTTTCTTTTCCCAATCCTACTTTTTCCCTCCAAAACCAGCCTCGCCTTGGGAAAGGCCTGCCTGGTTTTTGAATGATGTGGTCCATAATTTCCGGTTGGAATGCTAAGGTAGTATCATAAAGTGTTTGTAAGTGGTTTGATATCAGTATGATCAATGCTTTCAAGCAACATTCTCCGGATACAACTGGGTTTAAATGGCGTTTTGACTACATTCCGTCTACCTTTTCACTTTGATTTGTTTTCTACCATGTGTGTTTGTCGTTATTGTTGCTCGTTATATGCAATGGGCTGTCTGGTTTTGAGTGAATACTTTGAATTGTGTATTCTCTGTGTTCCAGGTGGATGCTGTGGTGTACTTGGTAGATGCCTATGATAAAGAGAGGTTTGCATAATCAAAGAAGGAACTCGACGAACTTCTTTCAGACGAGTCCCTCGCCAATGTTCCGTTTCTTATTCTAGGAAACAAGATCGATATACCATATGCCGCCTCTGAGGACGAGTTACGTTACCATCTTGGGCTCACAAACTTTACCACCGGCAAGGGCAAAGTAAACCTAGCCGACTCAAATGTCCGTCCGCTAGAGGTGTTTATGTGCAGCATTGTCCGCAAAATGGGATACGGCGATGGCTTCAAATGGATGTCTCAGTATATCAAGTAAGGTAACGATCCAAGAAACGTGTTCGGATGAGGTTACAAAATCCCAAACTCGATTCCATCCCATCACGCCCGACTTAAGGAAAGATTCATCAAATATTTTGAACCAGTCCCCTGGTGGGTTTGTAAGTTTGATGTATTCTGGTTTTGGATCTGTAAAATCTACTTGTGGCAGCAAATCTATTGTATTGTACTTTTTTTCAATTAGCTTCCTTAACCACTCTCCTTTGGATTTGTTATACTATATATAGAAGTTATATTATTTTAAGGGTTAAATACTGAATTTCCCCCTTGCAATAAAAAAATTTCAATTTAGCCCACAAACCAAATTAATTTGGTATTTAAAGTTTCAAACCATCTTTCCGCCTTAGTTTTCTTCAAGAAGTTAACATCGATACAATATTTGCTAATAAGAATGGTAAATAAAACAAATAAACAATTCATAACATGGATGAAATTGAATAGATCCGTGGTGCTTTATTATTGGCTGACATTGTCAACTTTTTTTAATACCTGTAATTTTTAATTAAATCGGGACGAAATGATAATTTAAGTGAGATAAAAATCAAATTTAGATATCAAAATGGAAAATGATAAGTTACACTAGTTTTTCAATTTTGGTGACTAAAGTGTAAATATCCTAAAGGTTCAATGACCATTAATATAATTTACGCTAACAAATACAGTACGAGTATCCGCCATAAAAATAGTAGTTTTTGTTTGGCAAGCCATGAACTAGGAATAAATATCGAAAACCAGAGTATAATCGAAGACGAAGCATCATTGATACCTAAAGAGGAAAACTAACGCAAGGAAAATGGAGAAATCTCAGATATGGTTAGCCTTTGGAACCATGTTGTCCTTCTTATTGACATCAACAATGGCGGCCGACGTTGTCGTACTAACTGAAGAAAGCTTCCACAAGGAAGTCGGTCAAGACAGAGGAGCTCTCGTTGAGTTCTATGCACCTTGGTAACGATTTTCTATCGCTCTCTTTCTCTCTCGTTTTCTCGTTGGATCCTCATTAATCGATCACTGTATCTTACATTCAGCAATTGAAATGAAAATGTGTTCGATTTTCTCTTATCGTTTTCCTTTTTTGAATTTTCCTGGCTCTGATTTTGAATCTTCTGTAAGTTTTTTTTTTGGATTTAGAAAGACATTAGATCGCAAGTCTCAAGGTAATCGTTTTCTTAAATTACAGGTGTGGACACTGTCAGAAGCTAGCTCCCGTATATGAGAAGCTTGCGCAGAGTTTTAAGAAGGCTAAATCCGTCTTGATTGGAAAGGTTAACGATTTATAATTACATGATTATGATGAAGTTTTCTTTCTATTTCTATTGATTGGAAAGTTTAGCAATTAATAATTAAACAGTTTTTGTTGTTAGAATATTAATTATTATTGATCAGTGAATTTCGTTTCGAATGTGAACTGTGAAAATTATACTATATTGAAAGATTGTCTTGGTATTATGTTGAATTCATTTTCCATTTTTGTTGATGTGGTATAGGTGGACTGTGATGAGCACAAGAGTCTTTGCAGCAAATATGATGTTCAAGGCTACCCAACTGTACAATGGTTCCCTAAAGGCTCTTTGGAACCTAAAACGTGAGTCTAATTTAACTTGTGGAAGTAGAAATTGGAAAGTTTTGATTTTCTTTGTGTTCTGTAATTGGTGTCAAACATTGCTCTTAGTACATCAAAATTGTTTTCTATAGGTATGAAGGGCACCCAACTGTTGAGGCCCTTACTGAGTTTGTGAATACTGAAGGAGGTACGAGTGTCGTTTTGCTTTTTGGAAGTTCCTTTTTGTTGTTGCTTAATTTGTGAAACCCTGTCTTGATTTCTTGTTTCTGTGTGTTTCTGAGTTGACTAGCTGAATGTACATTGATGCACAATGGCATAAACCCACTAAAATTCTACTAAACTCATGTATTTTTTGGCAGGGACCAAAGTGAAGATAGCCGCAGTGCCATCCAGTGTTGTAGTGCTAAATGCTGATAATTTTGATGAGGTTGTTCTTGATGAGACCAAAGACGTGTTGGTTGAGTTTTATGCTCCTTGGTAAGCGTTTGGTTTATTTTCCTCATGCATGTAACAAGTTTTGCTGGTGAAATTCTTCTGCTTCAATTTTATTTTTCTACTGAATGTGTTTTAACTTTTTCCTGCTAGGTGTGGCCATTGCAAAATCCTTGCCCCTGTAAGCATCTATATCTTTTCTTAATAGAGTTGGCTGAAGTAGCAAACTATTCTAACCCTTTGTTTTTTTTTTCTGTATAGACCTATGAAGAGGTAGCGACAGCATTTAAAATGGAAGATGATGTAATAATAGCTAATCTAGATGCCGATAAATACAAAGATTTAGCGGAAAAGTAAGTGTAAATTTGGCCAATAAGTTAGGGTTTCCTTTATAAAAGGGAGGGATTCTGTTGATGCATATTAAGGCCTATGCATTATGAGTGCAGGTACGAAGTAACCGGATTTCCGACATTGAAATTCTTTCTCAAGGGCAACAAAACTGGTGAAGATTACAATGGTGAAAGAGATTTGAATGCTTTTGTTGCTGTCATCAATAAAAAGTGTGGCACCAATCGTAATGCAAAAGGGCAGCTAACTTCAAAGGTTAGTAGTAGCTCACAGTATACGCTGTTTACATCATGTTCGTCATCACCATTTCTTCTGTTTGAGATTGGTTGTTCACTTGTTCTCCCCTTGTCTTTGTGTAGGCTGGTATTTTGTCAAGTTTGGATCCATTGGTTAAGGAGTTCGCCGCTGCTACCGGCGATGAGAAGAAAGCAGCATTTTCAAAGATCGAAAAGGAAGTCGAGAAATTCAAGGGTTCCTATTCGAGGTATTTAATCGGTTTCTTAATATTCAGCTCCTAAGGAAAACTTCTTGTCAATTCCTACTTTGTTTAAAGTTCCTTTATGTTATATGCTTACTATTCTATGTTGCCGACTGTCAGGTATGGAAATATATACTTGAAAGTTGCTAAAAACTGTTTGGAGAAGAAAGATGCTGATTATCCAAAGAAGGAAATTGAACGTCTGCAACGCATTCTTCACAAGGTAAATGCTGTTCTTGAAATACAAGTTAATTTAAGCTAGATCTCTTGTTCGACAGTCACAACTTTACGTCTCTTCCATTGCTACGATGTTTTGTGTGATGTTGTTTCGAATCTATATTTTTCTTTAAATATTCGTATTAGCAGGGACGAACATAGGATTTTATATTAAGAATTAGGCTAGAAATTTAAGAGTGTAAAATTAGATTATTTAAATTATACGAGAATTTCAAAATTCTTGGGACGTAACCGGATACGTCCCTGTGTGTTAGAAACCCCTAGGTTTCACATATTCGGATTTTGGTACAAAGATATAACACTCTATATCCGTTAACCCCATGCGAGTCGGATTAACATGGGACTTGCTCGATGCTCATTTTTTAGGTAGTCAAGATGCAAATTAGCTTCACAAATCAAGCTTTTTATTATTATTCATTATATGGTCGAATCATGAGTTTTCATTCTTTGGTGACAGTCAATAAGCCCGGCAAAAGCTGATGAATTCACTCTCAAGAAGAACATCCTATCAAAATTTGCATGAGCTGATTCGATGAATTTTCGACCACGTTTTTGAGGATCGGTTTTCCGACGGTCGCCGGGATCTTGTTTTGCAGTCTAGTTTCAATTCGTGAGGGGAATTTTTTGTGGCAGCAAATGGTTTAGGCCTTTGTTTACATGCATCACAAAGAATTTTAATGTGAGAAGAACAGTGATTTATTTCGGCACTTCCTCCATTTTTTTTCCTCGGCTAATTTTGTGTTTCTAGCTCGAGTCTTGAATGATAGAGTCCTCCGTTAAATAAACCATTTATGCAAGTATTTAACAAACTGTTATGCTTAATTGATAAATTAATTGTATACCACGTTTTTAAATTCCTACTCTTATTTTAGATTGATTTCCAGATTTTTTAGACATTTTAATTTCATCTTTAGACAATGACTCTTATTCTAAATTGGTCCCCAAGCTTTCAAATATTCTAAGTTCATCCTTAAATTGTAATTCTCATTCTAAATTGGTCTCCAAACTTTTGAACATTCCAGTAATATCCCTCAAAATCATTCAAAAGTTTGGGGATGAAATCGAAACATTCAAAAGTTATGATACCAATATAAAATAAAGATCATAATTAGAGATGTATTTGAAATATTCAAAGTTTAAAGACCAATTTAAAATGAGTCATAATTTAAGAATGAAATCAAAATATTCAAAATTTAAAGACTAATTTAGAATGTGAGTCATAATTTGAGAATGAGTAATAACAATTTACTCTTAATCAAATTTAAAAATCCACGCAAGTATTTAGTTTTTTTTTTGCACAAGTATACAAAATGTGCCCAATCTATCTCTTTTTTTTAGTTTAGTGTCTAACGTTTATTTCATTTTAGTTTGGTGTCTAACGTTTCATTTCATTACTCAAAATGAGTCAAATCGTGACGAACCATTAATTTCCTTAATTAAGTAACATGTGTTATAATTTTATAATTTTACAAAATCTCTAATAATTTTTTTAATTTCAATGTGTTGAACAAATTTATTGAACATTTATATTTACATGGATCTCTGATCTTGATTCATAAACCGTGACATTTAAGCATATGTGGCTTGATGATTCAAGTCTGGTGGTAATTCTACTGCCGTCGCTGTGAATGTTTTCCTTTGCTCATAGGCACCTTCACATGCTCTTTGAAGCCAAATGATGGTTGGTGGTTGAGATCCCCCATTTTTCGAAATTGGTTGAAATTTGATGTGATTTTTATTGATTTTTGATTTGTTTGGATTTGGTTGTTCTTTTTACTGATTTTCTTCTCTGTTTTGTATGAGATGATGACGTCGGGTAGATAAAATGGCAGCAGCCGGATGATGGGAGTGAGTGACCAAAATAGTGGCAGCGGCGCAGATCTTCTTGGTTGACAGTGGAGGCGACGGCGGAAGGCTAGGTTTAAGCTAGGGATTCAGAAAACCCTAAAACATACGAGCTAGGATTTGGGCAGATTGGCTTCTTGTAATTGGGTCTAATTTGGGCTTGTTGTAATGACCTGCAAAAATAAGAAAATTAAAATAATATAGTTAAATAATAATAATAGTAGTAATAATAATAATTAATATTAGCAAAATATCCTGACAGAAACGAGTGTCTACAGTTGTCCCTCTTTGCTCATTCTTGTGCGAACAAGGATAGAGCAAAGACAAATAGACACAAATTTTCGCTCGGTCGCAAGCAGCTCTGAAGGACTTATCATCTTGCTTGAAAGACTGACAGATGACCTGAAAGATTTAATCATCATGCTCGAAAAACTTACTGATGGCCCGAAGGACTTAACAATTTTGAAAATAGTTTACTAGGTAAGAAATTTTGGAAATCGCTTTTTTATTTTAACACAGTTTTTATCCGTTTGTTCTCCACCAGTCAAAGTCTTTAGATAGATATTGGGTAAACTACAAGAATAACTACTAAACTATAGTTAAAAATCAATTTGAGCACCGATATTTCAATTTAAACAAACATATCACTCAACTATTTAAATGGTTCATTCAAGTCACTCTCCGTTAGTTTTTAACGGAGGAGGTGACATGGCAGTTAATAAAATTTGTATAATTATACTTTTGGTCCTCAATACATATATATTATATCATTTTGATACTAATTTTAATTTAATTAAATAAATTTAATCTCTAATCAGATGATGACATATGTCATCATATGATTGAGAGTTATTTTCTTAATTTAAATTAATTTAATTTTAATTATTTTTCTTTCAATCAGATGGTCACATCTAATTGAATGAAAAACAAAGGATGAATTAAGTTGCTTTCAGTGTGAATCAAACCAGAACAAAGGGAATGAATGAAGGACGCCCCATCCACTGACCTATCCCAAACCATTGGGTTTTGTTTTACACAATAACATATATATATATTATATTTTGATCAATGGCAGAAAACAATGATATTAAATGGATATAGTTTATACATATTTTAAACTCTAATTACTACAAGACAAAGAAAATTTGGATTGAAAATTTTTATATTTATAAATTAAATTTAATAATTCTATTTTTACATTTATAATTCATTGGTTATTTATATAAACATTAAATTGTTTTTTTAAATTTAGTTAATATTTTTATTAAAAATAAAATATATGAATCATTTATATTTTAGTTAATTTTTATTAGATTGTATAGTTTAACATGTTTAATTCAAAATTGATTTAAATCATGTTAAATGTTATAACTTAAATTACAAATTTTGAACTATATAATTCAATAAAAATAATTAAAATATAAATAATTTCGTATATTGTATTTTTAATAAAAATATAAAAATTATTAATTAAATTTTAAAAAATTATTTAATGATTGTATATATGGCCAATAAATTATAAACATAAAAAAGAATTATTAAATATAGTATATAGATATAAAAATCTTCAGCCCGATTTTTCTTTTAATCTTGTAATGATTAAAGTTTAAAATATGTATAAATTATATCCATTTAATATTTAATTATAAGATTTATTTCGGTGGTTAAGTGCTCTTTAGTACTATATTTGGCCTAGGTATAAATCTCACCATGCCAATTTTTCATTCTTATTTTTTCTGGCATTAATTACATTTTAAGTTATATATGGTATTGTTTAAAGTAAAATCCAAAGGCTGGTTTGGCTTAATGGTGAGGGTGCTCACTTTATTTACCCTTTTCCTGGGTTTAATTCACGCTATAACCAAGATCTTCAATCATATGAACATATCACCATTAGATTGGACGAAAATAATTAAGGTTAAATTAATTTAAATTAAAAAAATTTCAATCATATGATGACATGTGTTATCATATAATTATACGAAATTCATTAATTGAAACATTAGTGGCTAAAATGATTTTTGATCATAGTTTAGTTGTCACCCGTGTAGTTTACCCATAGATATTCATAGTTTCATCCATTAGAACCTCATATTAGTCTACATCCTTCGAACACAGATTTCTAATTTACTACAGTGTACATATAAGACCTCTAATAAACTCACATAATACGTCTGAATAAAATTTAAAATCTAACTATCATATTTACTTTGACTATCTACTTATAAATAATTATGATGATCTTACGACTTACGTAAACACTAAAAATTAACATAAATATCTCAATCATCAAAACTGAAAGAAATAATAAACCATTTATTATGGTGATCGACCATTCTTCAATATTTTTCTCACAATAAATTATTATTTTTATTTAGATATCGATTAATTTTCATCTTTTTACTGATTGTAATTCTTCATTTAAATCAAAAAAATAAAGAGCTAAGTACGAATGAGATAAAATTGATGAGATAAACTTGTCGTACATTATCCCATCTTTTACTATGGTAATTCAAGTTGTTAGACAATTCAAAGTCAGTAAGTCAACTGGTTGTTGATGGTGTAGGCTTAACAATAATGCGGTCGGGGTTCAGATTCATGTACGCCTCCTCTCTCAGCCGCCATGCTCAATCCCACAATAACCTTGTCATGTTTAATCTTCACCTTGCATCTCCTGCCAATTCAATCCCAGACCACGAACTGCACCCCTTTCCAATGTGGCCGGATAACCTTCCCCTTCCCCTTCTCCGATCAAAGCACTTTCGGCAAAACCTCCATCGACTGCGGCTTCCCCGGCTACCAAATCACATGTGCCGATCCCGACTCTCCCCGAGCAGACTCAGTCCCCAAGCTCATGCTCTCCGGCCAATTATATCAAGTCAAAGATATCTTCCTCAACGCCTCCGATCAAGGCAGCGGCAATCTCATCACCTTGGTCAATGACGATCTCATCCGGGACTTGAACGGCGGTTCATGCCAGTCTTTACGCAACCTCACGATCCCGGTCTCCGCTTTCCCTTCTAATCACTCTCTCGGTCTCCCTCTGTGGACTACCAACTTAACGTTCTTCAAATGCCCGTCCCCCCCCTCGCCGCGCCGCCTGCTCGGGATTTTCTGGACCGGATCGCGTTCAACTACACCTGCGACGGAGACGGCGAGCAGTACCGGTTTTATCTATGGAGAAATGATAGTAGAAGTCAAAGGGGTGAAACAGTACGAAGCTTAAACAATTTCACAACTCCGAGCGGTTGCGATCTGGTTATGGTGCCGGTATCCTACGCCGATGCAAATAATGTTACTGCTGGTGACGGTGTTATAGAGCTGAGTCAGCTCACTAAAGCGTTGGCTGCCGGATTTTCATTGCAATGGAATAGTTCGGAGCATTGCCAGAATTGCAATAGGAGAAATGAGCAGTGTGGATTTGTCGACGGCGCAAGCGTCGTTTGCCTTTGCGACGGTGGCTGCATCACCTCCACCAAGTAAACATTTCAATCGCTTTCTTTTAATTTGTGAAAGTTTAAAAAAAATAATCTTAAAAGGGCTTAAATTAAATGTTAATCTCTAAAAGGGCCAAAAGCATACTTTTCTACTTTGTTTAAAGGGTTATAAAATTAAATTAGATGTTTAAAACAAAGTAGAAAATTATGTGCAAGTGTGGAGTGAGCATAAAATTATATGTTTAACATAAAAGTTGTAGATTCTTTTTATAAAGGGTTTAAGTTAAATATTAATCTTTAAAATGGGTCAAAAAGTGTAATAGTTAGCCAACAAGGCCGAAGCCCCTCCCCCTTCCCTGTATACAATGTAAGCTATTTGGATGTGGAATCATGATAAGGTAAGTTATGCCTTTACTCATTCAACTTTTACTATCTTTCTATTTTACTCACCTAATTTTAAAAAATTATGATTATATTTTTTTACATTTGAAATTTATTTTTTTATCACTCCTTTGGTTATGCAATGACAATACCTAAACCTCGCATTTTGGGCATTTGTATTTCATAAAATAATATTTTTAATTATTTTCTTTTCTGTGGTCGAATTTTTTTCCCACTATCGTTTGATCATTGTCGTTTGTCTTTTTAACTGGAATTAAAACGTTCATTTTTCTCCCCTCTTTTTATGTTTCAGATTAATTTTTTTTTTCAAATCTCTTCAATGTCACAGAATTGAAATCAAAGCTTTGATCTTTTCTTGATCTTATATGTAATATCCACCATTCGGTTAATATAGAATTGAGATAGAATTCTTTTCTCCTCTTCGACCTTCTTATCATTCGAATTTAGAAGATAAAACATAGATTACCCATTATTGCAAACAGTTATTTAAGTAAATTAATCAATTAAACATATACTTTTTTGATATAATTATTAGTATCTAATTCAATAATCGATCAATCTATATTAGGTATTGTAAAAGATTACCGTGAAACCGACTAATCCGGGTTAATTACTATGAGTAGTTCGTTGTCAAGTTTCCCGAGTCATATTTTTTCCCCTTTTGGAGTTGATAACTTTTTCTTATTTCTTGGCAGGCCAAGATTGTCACAATTGCATAAGATTCTTATAGGTAAAACGATGAAATCCTGTGTATATAATTAATTATTGAAGTAGTTCCTTTGATCAATATTAAAAATCTTGTTTCTTTTTCTAATGTGAACGTGTAAATCCATAATCAGGTGTTGCCTGCGGAATCTTGTCAATTATTGTAATTGCAGCCCTACTCGTTTATAAGAACAGAGCATCACTGATATGTTTGAAGATTCAAGCCACTTCAGACGGAACAAATGCCAAAGAATTCATTAAAACTTATCGATCAAATCTGTTGAGCAACTATTCCTACCACGACATCAGGAAGATCACCAATGGATTCAAGGATAAACTCGGTGCAGGCGGATACAGCGACGTCTACAGAGGAAAATTATTCGACGGTCGCGTCGTCGCCGTAAAGTTGTTGAAGTCCAGCGACATTATTAGAGACGATTTCGTTATGGAAGTTGCCACCATTGGTAGGATACACCATTTTAATGTTATTAATTTGTTCGGTTTCTGTTGGGATGGATCGAAACGAGCTCTCGTCTATGAGTACATGCCTAACGGGTCGTTAGCGGATTTACTCTCGAAAGAGGAAGTAAAAAATTCACTCGGAGTTGAGAAGCTTATGGAAATCGCGATTGGCGTTGCGGAAGGGATTGAGTACTTGCACAATGGTTGCGAGTCGAGGATCTTGCATCTTGACATAAAGCCTCAAAATGTTTTACTCGATCAGAGTTTGAACCCCAAAATTTCGGATTTCGGATTAGCCAAAGTATACTCTCGAGACCGTAGCGATGTCACAATGACGACCGCGAGAGGGACTATTGGCTACATTGCTCCCGAGATATTCATGAAAAAATGTTGGAAATCCTTCTCATAAATCTGATGTTTATAGCTACGGGATGCTGCTCCTGGATATGGTAGCCGGGAAGCGGGGGTTCGAACAAATAACCAGCTGCGCTACGGGTTCTTCCGGCGATGAAGCTTACTTCCCCGAATGGATATACGAGAAGCTCGTGGAAGAGAAGGATATTGTGGCAGAAGCTGATTTAATAGCAAGGAAGATGACAATGGTGGGATTATGGTGCATCCAAATAAATCAGAAAGATAGACCCTCGATGAAACGAGTCGTCGGAATGTTGAACGGACGAACGGAAGACATCGAGATGCCTCGTAAGCCCTTATTTATGTTCTCTCTTCCTCGCCAACAAATTTTTGAGAGCCAAATCAATTCATTAGGCAGTGATTCCAGTGTCATAGCTTTGGCACATGATCAAAGTCCTTGAATACATAAATGAAATAAAATAAATAAATAAAAGATTCCACTCATCCTTTATGGACCTCTCCCACTAACATTTCTACAAAAAATAAAAGATTCCACTAACATGGCAAACCACACTTCACAATTCAGGCATTTTATAATTACTTTATGGACCTCTCCCACTCATCCTTTTCAACTTTATTCTCTTGAATTTGTTTCCGCCTTGTTTATATTTATACATGAGAAACAATTCGATTATATCGGTGTACAATGAAATTAATTTTACATTTTTATTATAATTGTTTTTATTGTATATAATATCAATTTTTAAATTAGTATAATATCTCAATTATATCAGTTAAAAATATTATATTTATCTAACCAATTAAACACTATTATATAATTGACCTAATTTCGTTACACTATTCCCTCCACTTGTTCACATTGTTACGGGGCAATTGGGATCCACCTCACTCGTGGATAACTAGTAGGACAAAATGAATCATTATTATATATTTCAATTTTTTTTATTATTAGATTAGATCATATCACTTCTCTATCTTAAAAATAATTATATTACCTAACTGACCTAATTTCCTTCTACTATTCCATCCCTATCTCCACATTGATTTTTTTAAAATAATTAGGTACACAATTTTAATCAACGCTGATAGTTTAATTTTTTTAATATTTAATTTTAGTATTTATATTAAATTAGTTTTTGTCAGGTCATATATAATATTGAATTAATTTAGTTTTTAGATTATTATTTTTTAATATTTTAAATTAAATTTATATAATTTCAAATTCAGATTATTTTTATTTTAGATCAAGTTACTTGAGATTCATGTTATTCCTACCAACAAATGTTGGATGTAATGTTAAGGTACATTACATTTCTAAAAAGAATTTCCAAATTTAAACTTCGAAACGATAACACAAAATTCCGAATATTAGCCAGGAAATAGATAATAACTGTACCAAAAAGATTATTGTTAATAAATGATATTTATCCATTTTTATATTAGTAATTAACCTGTTTTGCACAAGAAACCAAGCAATTAAAACATACTAAGGAATATTCGGAGAAGATCAAACTATATAGTATTATGGTACCTTAATTTCTAACACTGCAAGTTACAGAGAATTTTCCTGCCCTAGCTCCACTATTTGGGGGGGAAATGTTGTTTAATAACTTATGAATTGTAGTGGCTTGATTAAAGGCTAATGACACCACACTCCTAACAAATTAATGCTTGAACTTATCTTAAGAGAGAAAACCTTGTTTATAATAGTGTATTTATTTTAGTGAAGGACTTGATTAATAGCATACCTAATTTAATAAATACAACTTGACTTGTTTAATATTTCTTTCATTGGACAGTTTGAAACTAACAGGTGTAATGGACTATTTGTGTTATTTTATAAAGGTTTATTACCCCAATAATTCATATTATATTTTATTAAACAAATAATCGGTCGTACCCTCTTACTTCATCTATGTATAGCCAACTCAATCATAGAATAAACAAATAATCTCAAATACAATTCTTTTAATAAATATAAGATTATGAGTGAATGAATATAAAATTGCCCCTTTTTATTTAAAAAAATTAAAATTAAAAAAAAACCCCATCCACATATTTAATATGTCCCCATTCTTCTGCATCTATAAATAAACTACACATGAAGCTGCCCTAAAGTCTCACAATCATTTCCACGATGGCGTCCACTTGCGATGGTTCGTTTAGGGAAGAACGAGACACTTTCGGCCCCATTAATGTCCCTTCCGATAAGTTCGTTTTCTTCCTTTTTTTTCCAGATCTTCTTCATCTTTTTTTTCCGTTGACATTGCTACTGTTGTTATAGATTATGGGGAGCTCAAACTCAGAGATCGTTACAAAATTTCGATATTGGAGGTCCGCGGGAACGAATGCCCGAACCTATTATTCGCGCTTTTGGCATCCTCAAAAAATGTGCAGCCAAGGTGAACATGGAGTATGGTCTTGATCCGGCTATTGGAAAAGCCATAATGGAAGCGGCACAGGAAGTAGCCGAAGGAAAACTCAACGATCACTTTCCGCTTGTTGTCTGGCAAACCGGAAGTGGCACTCAAAGTAATATGAATGCTAACGAGGTAAATACGGATCTCATATAGATCTTTATATCAACAATATATTAAATATTATAAGCGATCGTGATCATGGTTTCGTAACTTTAAAATTTTCTTAGGTTATTGCTAATCGAGCAGCTGAGCTTTTGGGACATAAACGTGGAGAAAAGCTTGTACATCCAAACGATCATGTTAACAAATCTCAATCTTCTAACGACACATTCCCAACTGTAAGTAAAAGTTAATTGATCTATCTTGTTGATTTCTTACCTTTTAGATTATGTTTTTAAACCAACTTGATTAAATATGATTTGATCCCGACTAATTTCAAAAGTCAAAAAGTCTTTTTTCTTTTTATTACTTTGGCCCTACCTTCTCCATTATCACCACCACTCAAGTTCATGATTCATGGTGGAGATGGCTTCTTTCTTTAAAACTCCCTTTTCTTTTTCTAAATGGATGATTGAGAATCAATTTTGATGTTCATGAATAATATCAATTCCAACGTTAATATGAATTCATATTTAAATATAATTAATTTGTCTATCGTTTGATCTATGATTTAATTGATAATGTGAATTCAGATTCATCATCAATTAATCGGGTTGAGATATAAAATATTCAAAGGTGACCCGTGGGTTTTTTTTTTCTTTTTGGTAATCCAAATGGCAAAGGGGCGATGATGATTTGAATTAGATGGAGGGTTAGATTGGCTAAAATAAACAAATGAATAGGGCATGGACTTGACAACTTGACATTGGTGGGGACCTATTGTGTCATTGTCCATTAAAAAAGAGTTGATGTGGTGGGCTTAGCATGTTATGTCTTTGTTCTATGTATCATCTAACATGTCATGTCTCATAATGTCTAATTATTTACAGGTAATGCACATTGCAGCAGCAATGGAAATAAACTCGAGATTATTACCCGAGTTAAAGAATTTGCATTCCACTCTGCAATCAAAGGTTTTGCACATCCCTACTTTTACGATTTTAAATCGAGAAATACTAAACGTTTAAATATGTTGATCTCATATCCTATTAATGATGTTGATAAAATTAAACTTAATCGACTTAAAATATAAATTTTTAAAATATTATAAACGTTTAAAATTAATTTTTAATTAAGTTCCATTTTCTAAAATGATACTATAACTTTTTTAGTAAGTAAATTTGAAGTGTTCATATTTTAAATTTTATTTTATTTTTAAAATTCATAGTAAAGTTTAATATAGAAGTAAAATTATCTAAAACAAATTGTCTATATATATTTAAAATATGATTTTAAAGAGAAAGAACCATAATGACAGATTTAATGAAGTTCAAGAGTCATTATAATATTATTTCATTTATAAATTTAGGCATGTGGGTGGGTTCACCAAACACACTACATGAAGTCGACGTTTTCCACAAATCGCCATGTGAAATGCTCCTTTTGTTTCTGGCCTTGTAGTTTTCGACGTGCCTCCTTTTGATTTGATAAAATTATTCTTTTGATCCTTAAAATTGTAAACTTTTTAATTTATAAAACAACAAAAAATGTCATTTAATCTCCTAATTTGATAAAAAAATGTTCTTTGATATATAGAAAATTAAAATGTTACACTAATTGATATAATCAACTCAAGTTAATACACTCAACAAAGTCAATATGATAGTCAACTTAAGTGATACAATTTTAATATAATATCATCTAATCTTAAATTTAGTATAATCGATATTAATACGAACCGACACATTATACTTTTACTTATTTATTTTGGGCAGTCCAATGAATTCAAAGATATTGTTAAAATCGGTCGCACTCACACTCAAGATGCGACGCCTTTGACTCTTGGACAAGAGTTTAGTGGATATGTTACACAGGCAAGTTCTTTTATCCACAACTTTCTTTTATTTAGTTTGAGATGAAATTTGATTACACATGTTCATTTAAGTTATTTTATATCGAATTAAATCGAATTTATATAAAAATGTTGAAAACATGTAACTTAATATTTGTTTTGTGGTTGGGTTGCAGGTAAAGTATGGAATTGATAGGGTTTCCTCAACCTTGCCCCGACTGTATAAGGTTTGTCATCGTGCTTGAATCTGTCATTATTCCTTTTTAGTCTATATAGAATACTGACATAGGATGTTTTTTCTACGGCAGCTTGCACAAGGTGGAACTGCCGTGGGAACAGGTTTAAATACAAAGAAAGGGTATGTTTTTTTTTTCGTGTTTTAACGTTGGTTGGTGTGAGACATGACTCATTTTCTTAACGAGTCTAATTTATGTTAAAATTAAAGTTCGCGTATCATATTTTATATGGAATAAAATTTATTTTGAGAGTGTAATGTTAGAGAAAAACAATCTCAGGTTTGATGTGAAAATAGCTGCTGCAGTAGCCGAGGAAACAAAGTTGCCATTCACCACAGCAGAAAATAAGTTCGAAGCTTTGGTTAATTCTCTCGACCTTCTTTTTATTCGATACATTTTTAAACATGAATATAAATATAAAAGAAATACCGAACACATTTACACTCGAATTCGAATAACATGGATGAAATTTTAATTTCTTTTTAATAACCAGGCTGCACATGATGCCTTTGTTGAAGCTAGTGGAGCTTTGAATACTTTAGCTGCATCATTCATGAAGATTGCAAATGACATTCGCTTTCTGGGAAGGTTTTATATATATTTGTTCTCCTTATTTTTTTTTTTATATTTTGTTGTTTAGTAATATTGTTCTGATGGTTTCAACATATTTTCTTGTGCAGTGGTCCTCGATGTGGCCTTGGTGAACTTATTCTTCCTGAAAATGAGCCTGGCAGCAGTATTATGCCTGTAAAACTCTCATCTTATACATCGATTTATTTATACGAATACGGAGATGATATGATACGAATAAAATTATTCATGATTTTTTTTTCAGGGAAAGGTGAATCCTACCCAATGTGAGGCTCTTACTATGGTCTGCGCCCAGGTTATGGGCAACCATGTGGCTATCACAGTGGGTGGATCAAATGGTCACTTCGAACTCAATGTGTTCAAGCCACTGATGGCTAATGCACTCTTACATGTACGTAATTTGTTCTTTTCTTGCAATTTTCACTAATCCGACACACGTTTCCGTCATATCGGAACCGTGATACTTGTCCGGAATTCGGATATAACTGCTGTTTTCTTTTGTTCTATGGTATCAGTCAATACGGTTGCTGGGTGACGCAGCTGCTTCCTTTGAGAAGAACTGTGTGAAGGGAATCCAAGCTAATAAGGAAAGAATATCGAAATTACTGCATGAGGTCTGTAATCTATTGGTGTTCGACTTATCATCATCCCTAAATTTTAGAACATATATCGATTCCGATTTCCGAAGCTAACCATGATCATGTGTTGTTGGCTTGTGACGATCTGCAGTCTCTAATGCTTGTGACATCCTTGAACCCTGTAAGTCTTCATCTTTGTTTCATTCTCATAATCATGAATGTTTGTACTTTGAATTTCTTTAAAATCACATATTACGGCACTCCATCTAAATTAAAATCGATGAATAGCCGTTCCAACTCATATTTTATTGTAAATAGAATCGAATGTGTAATCAATGGTTAAATCTTGGTGTTTCCCCCCCTCCCCCAGAAAATCGGTTATGACAAGGCTGCAACAGTTGCCAAGACAGCACACAAAGAAGGCTGCTCCTTGAAGGTTCTTTAGAATCATTTTTGAAGCAAATATTATTTGTAAAATCCGAATCTGAGACTATGTTTTGGTTTGTCTTTGTAGGCGGCAACGACCAAGCTCGGTCTGCTGACAGAAGAAGAATTTGAAAGTCTCGTGGTGCCTGAAAAGATGATCGGTCCATCTGATTGAGGACCGGATTTTAATTATGTTATGAAAGAATTGCTGTTATGAAAGAACCCACTCATTTCATAACTCGACTTTAATTAATTCCATAATAATCGAGTGAAAATTGGTCTTTTTAAATCAATCCTAGTAACTTTTATGCGTACTTGAGTTTATCGATAAATTAATGTTGTTGAATTTTAATATTAAAATTTTAAATTTTATAATTTTGACATTTTAAATTAGCATATAAATATTTCATGGACATTAGCATTCCTTTCGGAAGATGTGATGTCTTAAAAGTTAATTTGAGACTAATCATAATAAATAACTTTTACACATTAATCTTAATTTCTAATTAGTCCATCATCAATTAAAAATTAATTATTTGGGTATGTACTCATATTTGACCAATACAATGATATATTTTGACCAAGTATTTTAGGAGCTACTTCAAATATTTTTAAATTTTTTAAAAAGGAAACTTAATTAAAATTATTCAAAAATATTAAAATTTAATGAAAATTTTAAAAATTATGAAACAAACAAATACTAATTTTTCAAATTTTGGGGGTCATACTTCGTATTATAACCGAAGTTTAATTAACTTAAATATATTATATCACTTTAATTTAGATCGATTTTATATGATAGTAAATAACATATAATCATTACTTATTATATGTCATGTTTATATAATCTAACAAAAGACAATCAAATTGTGTATAGAATTTATTATATGTTTGTAATTCTTTTCTTATCAAAAGAGATAAAGATAAACAACTGGCACAATCTTTTAAGATGTTAGCCATATAATTTTCTTTAATTGAAAAATAAATGTTTATTTTTTTTATCAAAATATATATTTAATGTTATATTCTGTAATCATTTTTAAATCATCCGTTAAATAGATCATTATAATCAATTGATGATTTTTTAGGCTCTTTGTAACATTTTTTTTTTTGTAATTAGTTTAATGTTATAAGCGATATGAAAGTATTCTGATACTAATTGGTTTTGTTTTTATAGAAATAAACTATGGCAATCAAAATGTTTTTTGGACAATATATTTAGATTTAAAATTATTAATTTTAATAAAAATATAAAAACGAGCCATAACCGTCTCAAGAGATCTCTTGCCCTCGTGCTCTCTCTGTCGCCACCATGATGGAACTCTCTCGCATATTTTACGTGATTGTCCTAATACACGCAGCTTATGACTTTATCTTCTGGGAAATTCCTTGAATGTGAATTTCTTTAATCTCTCTTTGTAGGATTGGCTAGTTCAAGGGATCTCATCGCGTCAGTTTTGCACCTTGAGCGATGGCCTCTGGAATCAATTGTTCGCTTCCCTGATCTGGCACGTATGGAAACGCAGAAACGCTTACATATCCGTGGGGAATCCCATGGAGAACTCCACACTGCTCCATGTTTGCGTTCAATGGGCAAGACTGTACAACCTCTCGCCTCAAAGACAGTTCAAAAACTATGCGACCATAGTGGACAATTTTCAGTGAAAATCCCCTTCTCACGGTTGGATCTGCCTTAATTCAGACGCGGCTGTTTCTCAGGTAACCGGTCTTAGCTCGATCGGAGGTATCATAAGTGACCATGAAGGTTCTCACCTGCTCTCTTTCTACAAGAACATCGGGATTACTTCGGTTCTTCAGGCTGAGATGTGGGACATCTTTTAAGGGTTAAAGCTCGCGAAATCTCAAGATTTCAAGAATACCATTGTTCAGTCAGATAACCTCGATGCCATTAAACTGCTCTCCCCACCGTTTCGTTGTAGTCTCTTTCCTCTGCTCCGTTCCGTTGCTCTTCTCTGTGAGGACGATTGGAACGTTGTTTTTACTCATATCCATCGTGAGGCTAATATGGTTGCCGATAAACTGTCAAAGTTTGGCCATCCCTCTGAATTAGATGTTCATGATTCAGTCTCTCTTCCTACTGTTTTTTATGATCTTGCCCGAAGCTGTAACGGCCCTCCCTATGTTCACATAAGGAGCGTGTAATGACTTGGCTTCTGCCTCCTTCATATTCTAAAAATATATAAAAACGAATAGACATAAATCAAAATTGATTTATAATAAATTATTGTAACCAAAATTTTACAACTTAAAATTATTTGGTTTATAAATAAAACAATTTCTCGCAAAATTCTATACATCTAATAAAAATAAGGGTAAATTCAATTTTATTTCGTTTTAGTACCAGACTTTCAATTGTTTCAAAATCATGCCTAATAATTATTTTTTGTTTCATTTTAATATCCCGTCGTTATAACTTAACGGAACGGCTGCTCGTGCCATTTTTATGGGTAAATTTCATTATTCATTACTTAATTATCTTCTTACTCCTATTTTGGTCACTAAAGTTTAAAAAAATTTAAATTTAACTACTCAACTTTCAAATTGTTCATGTTTTAATCACTCTAATTTATTTCATTAATAATTTTTTGTGACATGATTTTTTTTATTATTTTATTAATATATAATTAAAATAAAAAATTAAATTTCAAAAGTGACATATTATAATAGTTCGCTAAATTTTTAACAGCGAGATACCGAAATGAAAAAAAAATGAACGTTAGATGTAATTTCAAAACAAATAAAAATTTAAATACTAACATATAGTTTTCCCATTAAAAATTTTAAGTTACTCCTATCAATGGATACAGCTGGTAGCAGTACAAAAATTTGTTACGAATTTAGGTGGTAGTACAAATAGTGCAAAACGGTACTTCAAAGGAGGAAAGTAAAAAAATTAATCAAAGAATGAAAATGTCTAAGGGTAAAATACAAAAAATATCCTCTATTTATAGGGTGTTACTTTGTTGAATCCCCGACTATTAAAAGATACAAAATAGTCTCTCAACTATAGAATTTGACTTTGTTGAGTCCATCGACTATTAAAAGTTACAAAGTGGTCCACTCGACTATTCGTATGCTTCAAACTCGTCATTTTTTGTTAAAAACTTGATGACAATATGAGTTGAACGTTAACATGCTGACTGAGATATTATAGTCGATTGAGATTTTTGAATCATATTTTATTACATTACAATTAGCATGTTAACATCCAACTCGGACTGTTATCAACATTTTAACATAAAATGATAAGTTTGGAATAGAAGACTATTTAATTACTTTTAATAGTCAAGGAACTTAATAAAACAATATAGTTAATGGATCATTTTATAACTTTTAATAGTATGTAGATTTAATAAAGTAATATACTATAATTTGAGGCCATTTATGCACTTTACCCATTATTTAAATTGAAGTGTTAAAACAATTGAATTGGAAAAAAGAGTTGGAATTGTACTTGAATGCTTCAAAGGAGGCAAGTACGAAAGCACGAAATCTAGGGGAGCCAGTTTCACCTACCAAAGCGTAAGAAGCAAAACAAAATTTGGAGGTGACGTGCCAGTGTCATTGCTTTAGGACAAAGACATTAGATTCTTCAGACAAGACAAAAATGGTACGATGAAAACCGTAACCGCAAAACCACCGGCGGCGCCGCAGCTTCCCCAACTTACATTACATTAAACCTTTTCCTTTACCGACATCTTGGCCCAGCTCACCCGCTTTGGGGCCCATATCTTCGCCGGCGTTCTTTACAAGTAAAATTCATCCTCATTCTTCGTTTCTATAGTTTTATAAAGATTAAGAAATATAATTATAATTTAATAGTTTAAGTTAATTGTAAGATAGTATTTTAAATTATTTATAAGATAGTATTTTTTATTAGTTTAAGTAATTTTTTATAAAGAATAATAATCTGAATTTTTAAGGAAAATAATATTTTTTTTACTATTGAATTCATTTAACGAGATCTTAAGAAATATTAATTATATCTTTAAAATTTTAATTAATTTAATATATTTGTAATCAATTAATAAATTATTTAAAATTTGACTAATATAATTTAAATGAACATAACATAAAATACAGTGATCTAATTAAATAAATATTAGTTATATAATACATTAAATAACTTTTATAACATGTATATTACTCGGATTACTCATCACTTGTAAATTGAAATATATTAAGTATTTGAATATGTTATACACCATATTCTCCTTATATATATATATTATCAATAATAATATATATCAAATTAAATTCAATGAACAAAATATGGAAATAGTTAAAACCAATGAAATCTTACACCAATGTAATTGAGTTGGGGATAATTTTTACAATTTACACCACCCAAAACGTTTGGAACAATATCGATGAGGTGAAAAAAAAAATTAATTAATTAAATTAAGAGCTATAGCTTTTGTATTTCACAAATTCAAACACAATCAAACATATGTCACAATTAAAAAGTAATTCATCTAATCCTAATTCACAACATTAAAGAAAAGTATAATTATATGTTTAGTATCTAAATTATTACTTTTATTTTATTTTAGTACATAAATTTTATTTTCCTTTTCAAAATCATACCTAAAATTTAGTTTATGTTTTGATCTAGTATCTCATCGTTAAAAATTTAACAATAATATTGACGTGTAATCATAAGATAAAATCACGTCATCATTAATGACATGTCAACAATTCTGTTAACTCTTTAACGACGAGTACCAAATTAAAATTAAATTAAACATTAGGTATGATTTGAAAAAACAAATAAAATTTAGATACCAAAATAAAATAAAAGTAGTAATTTAAGTACTAAATATGCAGTTTATCCTAAAGAAAACAAGGAAACAATAAAAATAGTAAAACCAAAGCCGTCCTGTCACATTGTTAGCGACGGCGGAGGAAAAGCGACGGCACTGCTATCATCATCAACAAAGCTCCAAAGTTCACCGAAAACACTCTCCGGCTGAGCCATGGCATTTTGGATCGACGGTTCCCCTTCCAGATATGGAATCTCATAGAATTTCATGTAATTCTCGAAAGCAATTAGTTCCTCCGATAATTTCAGCACTTCGTTTTCTTCAACCCCGAACACGGCTTTATTCACTGCCTCTTCTTGTTCGGCCTTTACTGGAAGGTAACATGAATTCATCGTCTTTTGATTGCTAGACCCTGAATTTTCCTCTTCAGATACGACAATCGGGTCAGTCGAGAACCCGCCAAGTTCGTTCCAGTCACATTG